TATAGCACGGCAGCAGCAGCAGCGGCAGCAGCACAACCTATAGATATATACAGTGCGCGGCGAGGATCGTTATGTTCGCTGCTGGGCAGAATTTCGGAGTCCTCTCTTTCTGCCTCTCGTTAGGTTTTGTCGGGTATTCGGCCGATCGTATAAATGTGAGAACAGGCCCTCTACATACAAAGGCGCGCACACATACAGGGAGAGGCGCGCGGCCTTTTGCACGTCGCTCGGGCCTCTATAATTGCATGCACTGCACCATATTATCAGCGATGGGCCCACACTCGAGCCGCACTATATATACATATATATCGGCAAAGCACACGTAAAAGAAGAGAACTAAAAGCACTGCTTTAACTCCTCATTAGTCGATGCAGTTGCAGCGGCGCAGCATCGGCATCTCTCACGGGCACACTGTATAAAATCGGAAACTTTTTTGCATTCGAGCACACACATCGGATCACTGCACTGTATACGAATGGATATTTTGATTCTCGTGCGTTGTTGCGTGTATTTAAAAAACTAATGCTCGTCTCGAGGCAGTTAGTTGCTCTCTGCGTGCGATTATGTGTTATACGTTCGGAGCACGCGCGCACACTCGTGACAGCCGCTTGCGTATTTATTATCAGCGTCGTCGTTCGCGTTGGCATACAGGCACAATCCCTCTTATAATTTCATGAATGAAGCTCGTAACGCAACGCGTGTGTCAGTACATTGACGACAGCGCAGCAGCAGCAGCAGCAGCAGCAGAGATATGTATACACAGAAACACGTAGCGCGGGTGCCGGCTTCGGACTATGCTGCGCGGCGGGAAAAACGCACCGCGTGCGTCTCTCGTTTCGTTTTGTGTATGTTATATACACACACGACTTTCTGTCGCAGCACACACGCACGTCTGTCTGCATCCGTGGCCGCGAGAAACGCTCGTATGAAAAGCGCGTCTTGGAGTCGACTGCACGAGCCGAGCCGTAGCGGTATCGTGTATATGTGAGGCAGCGCAGCGGCCTATACATGAACGCGACGCTGCTATATATGCTGCTGTTCCTTATGCCGCAGTCGCTGCGCGTCTTACAGTGGAGGTTTTGACCTGCCCCAACGGCGTCCCAATCGCGCACAACACAGGTATGTGTTGGAGAAAACGAGACGGAGAGAAGAAAGAGAGACGAGACTCGAGAGCCGAGGCTCATTGTGCAGAGGGAAAGAGAGCGAAATACTATATACAGTGTACAGTGTGTGTATGTGTGGGAGGAGTAGGGGTAAGCTGAGGCCTGGCGCGTGCATTCGGTTTCATATGCTTCGCTTATGTATTCTGGGACCGAGCGTATACCGCATAAATATATATATAGGTACGTGCGACCACCTGCCGCGCGACCTGCCGGCAAATATTCATGTATGTGCATGTGCTCGAGGGGTCTGAATCGTTGACGGTGGCGGCGGCTGCGGCGGCGCTGGGACCACTGGAGCGCAACCAAAGATCGCGTACGCTGCGCGCCCAACTCGATTTTCATCGATAAGGTAGGTACCGATCCACTTCAACGTACACACACATCTTTGCCAGCGATTCGTTTTTGGCGGGTAAAAAGTGTCTATATATCGCGCGCGATGCGTATATAGTTCAAAGTCATCACAACTTGCTTTTGTTATTTCCGTTGGCGCCTCGTTAGTGTGTCATCACGTTCGAAATCTTCAAAAACTTGTCAAGAGATGAGTACGAGTCGATTAACGATGATTCACACTTGTAGCTAATTTAAAGCGCCGACGATTCGCTCGAGTTTTTAATTTCACTTGTAAATCGGTTAACGGTCCCGGCTTACACACCTATTCGCGGTAAATCTGAATTTTTTAAGTCATTCAATGATTCTCACTTTATTTTAAAATAACAACAACAACATCAAACAAATATATTTTCAATAAAAATGAAAATGAAAACGTTAAGACAATATTTTATTACCAAGTTGAATTAACAAAACAGATTCCTACCTGATAGACCGACGCTCGAAAGAAAACTACATTATTAATGACACATGCTAGTGCAACGCGAAAGCTGCAGTTTCTCGTGCTCGATATTCATAAAGTGTGAGAAGAAATGTTTTCAAAAGTGATGGAATGGACAAAACAGAAAGATTAAGGAGTATTCAAAGGCCTTTTTACACGAATTCTGGTAAGAAACGTATGATTTAATTTGTATGTACTTGCATTTACAAAAACTCTTACTATTTCGATCTAAAGTCACGTATTTCATAAAACAAACAATAATTCAGATTTTTGACGTTTAAGTATAATAAAAAACAATGCTTTAAATTTTATCGTTTGTCCCTCGTCGGATCAGTGTCAAAGTCAAAACAATCGCGTAGAGTGTGATTATTTTTAGATCGGTGCCTTCAAAAGAAACGCTATTTAAATCGGTGTAATTTGTTATATGTCTAAAGTCACATAATATGTTTATATTTTTATCTTCAGCTGGTAATAAAAACTTCTCATACTCATTCATAAACATAAATGAATTAATAATGATCACTCAACACTGTATTAAATGTTTAATTTGAATGTGACAATTTGCACTAATCTTGATAAGTTTAAATGTTTATAAGTTTTAATACTATTTATATTTAAAATAATTTTATACATTGATTTAATTATCAAAAGTTTATAAAATTGTATGTAATTGGAAATGTTCTTTTTCATTGGCATTCATGATATGTAAATCATCTGCATAAATCAAGCGATCGGTAAAGGGATTATATATAATACGCACATATTATTACTGAATCACTCATTAAGCAATTTGCATGATCGAATGACGTAACTTTTGTTTTCCCACGGTGCGAAAATATAGTAATAATCACAAATAACGCATATACAATAAATAAGTAGTACGAATATAATTTCCTTTTGTATGTTGCTATACTTATATATCCTCAGTTCGATTACTGAAAGTCAATGTCTCTCTTTAACAACGTGCGTGCACGTCACAAAGGAGGAAAAGGTATACGTACGCGTACATTCTCATTTTCCCCGTATTTACACGGCGATTAATTTGTCTTGCGCGACGAGCGAGCGAGAACGAGGCAGAATTTTTCGCTCCCGTTCGCTCTCGAGGGACACGTACGTTATGTTCTCCGACTTGCATAGCATAGCGCATAAAAGCACGTGGACGCATTGCAATAAGACATCGTTAAAAGATAAACAGAAAATTCATGGCTAATCAATCCGTGCGCGACGTATCTATCCGAAGCCGCAATGACGGATCGATGCGCGTGTAACAAGTATAGTAACGATCGCGAGTGTCCCTTGGAAATTGCTATTGTACGTGAGTAAGCGCGCGCGGAGCTATATTTAAATGTACTTTATATGCGCGCTAAGGACGTTAGAGAACCGATCTAAAGGCACCAAGGTAGGCGTCGATCGAGTAAATACACTTTTCAAGGCTGGCTGGTAACAGTGTATGACAACAGTAGCTCGCAGCCGTGCAGCGCTCTACGCGGAGAGCACTATGTTATGTAGCTCGCTCACGAAGTCGGCGTAGGTGCACTTATTGTATCAAGTCTCGTTAACAGAGAGACGTTCATTCACTCGATCATGATGATGATAACGACTACGAGACTAGGATGATATGATGTGTGTGTGATAGCTCTCGAATGGCCCGTTTGCTCCAGTTCGTATCTTTAGACCGGGCTGCTGCCATGCCATAGTTCACGTTACCGCACACACACACACACACACTCGTGTTCCATGCGCGATACTCGAAATAATATCTCAATTCGCATCGAGCCTCGCAGTCCGCAGTCGAGGATAATCTCAATGTAGCCATTGCTGTTTTTTCCAACATTTTAGGCACTCGAGGCTTTTGGTGTCGAGCTTGGTGTCGAGGTGCGCGTGATTCAGTGAGTTCGAGTTGGGTACGCGGGTGGCGATGCCACCCTGCGTAAGCCCCATTGAGATATGGCCATGCGTCCCATAGCTAACGATAACAGACCGATCGGCGCGACCGTCAATCTCACCCTGCTTCGGCTCAAACGGGGTAGTGTTCAGTTGAGGATAGCAGCTCGAGAAGTTCAAGGTAACGATCATCAATTCGAGCGATTATATCTTTCCTCGATCTTGAGTATCAATTGTTTTGTTACTTGATTGCACGAACAAAAATGAGGTAAATACCAAAATTGCACTGTACCAACTGCAGTGAGATTCTAAAAATAATCAGCGCGCTTGCGTCGATATCCGATGCGATGATTCACGTACAACGAAGCGCTTACGTTGAAATTCACCGTGTATCTAAAAGTTCCAATGTATATCTATTTGATCAAAGCGTATTGATATTTTCGGCGACTTGATAACTAGAGTTTATTTGTAAATTGTCGCGCCATCTAGTCAGTATCAGAAACACATCTCAAGCATATGGGGAAATAAAAAAAGTGTAGACGAATCAGACGTCGTCTTCGGATGTACCTTGTGCGTCTAAAGAGATAATAAAATCCATATTTCCACGATAACGATGTTACGCTAAGTGCATCCTCGAAAGACGTTTGCTCGACTTTATGTGTCATTATAGGTTCGGTATCGTTTGATCGAGTTTTTGCCATTTTATTCGCGAATTGTTAAAGCCATACCGGATTCGATTTTTATCTGGTGTCTATAGTGTTACCTCCATTCTATTCATATGTGGCGAGATGTGCGAAGATCCGGAAATCAACAAACTAAAAGATGATGTTAAAGAACATACAGGTAATGTGTGATGTGCTAATTCCATAGTGCTGAAAAATTTGAGAAATGGGAAATTTCGCAGTATAAATTAAATAAATAGTTTAATTAACAACTGCTTCTTCTTATCTTCTTACGTCATTTTAAGTTAAGTAAGAATTCTTCATAATCAATAACATGCAATTAAAAAATCATGAAAGTATTTTAATTTAAGTTAAATGAAAGTGTACAATTTCGCGGTGTGCTAAAATGATAATTATTACTTACGCTATTTTGTGTCAACTCTTAATTGTCCATTCGAATATTCATCTCGTCAAGTATCATTCGTGGTTAATCAATTTAAGCAAATACATATAAGTTCAAAGGTATGAGCAGACGGTATTTCACTATTGCTGGAACGTCAAGGCTACAATAGATTAATCATAATTTACCAGTCTAATTTATTACACCGCACTCGTAAATCTTTAGTCTTGATGTTTTTCGTATTTACCACGTGTAAGCTATTTCGGTATGTAAATTAAATAGCAAGTCTCTTCACCTAATACACCAGTCCGACCAGAAGCACTTTTAACTAAAACAATCAAGTTTTCAATTTCAATAAAGTTTTGGAAAACACGAGCAGCGATCGCATTCATAATCACTAAGGCTATAAGTAGATCACAAAGTGTATATAGGCGAGCTCGTTTCGAGCTTTCTTACAAAACGATAAGGATATTTACCCGTATCATTGAGAACGTTTTTTTCTTCGGCAAAACAATTATTGTTATTATTATTATTAGTATTATTTGTATTATTATTATGCGGAACCAGTCGGGTAACTGGCAGGTCGATATCGCGAACGTGCGTTGATCAAATACAAAAGAAGTCGAGATAGTGGCAAAGACAGCAGCAACGACACAGGCAGTAGCATGTGCCGTTGCCGGAGCAGCAGCAGATAAGACGGCGACATCGCAGAATGCAAAGATCCACGAGACGCGAAAATTTATATTCAATGTCGTAATTTTTTTTTTTTTTTGCGCAAGTAAGGTGTAAAAAAGGCGTCACTTATGATAGACTTTCGCGGATTTTCTCGATTTATCTGCAGCCGTAGAGTGAGATGGCGGAGTTCGTCAAGAGAGGAAGTGTACACTTAGTGAAGCGCAGCAGTGTGCAGATCAAGCAATGGAAAAAAGAAGTGCGAGGTTAGTGACGGGAGATCACGCGACGGGAGAGTGGAAAGGATGTATACCTCAATTTTTGGTGCTTTGTAACTTGGACGTAGCCGCATACAGCTTTCGATTTTGAAAATTTAGAAAATTTCCAAGTTGTTTCTTTTGAAAGAAACATGTTCGAGTTATCGAATAAACAAACGACGAAATGATTACATTGACGTAATGAGACAAAATCTTATCGAATTTGCAATTATTCATTAAGGCGTTACAAAGAAAAATATGAAATAACGATCAGGTTTGATGTCTCAATATCAATAATTTTGATACATTTTTGTTTAAACAAAACAAGAAAAAACCAACGAAAAATTCTAAATCATCGCCGTTTGGATTGTTACAGCCGCCGTACGAGCTCGTCATATCGTAGCAGCCCTAGTGGCCGTGGGCTTCGCACTATGCGGCGCCGTCGAGACGAGCTCCTCCGTGGCTCTGCTGGCAAATCAAGTGGACAATCATGCCATCATCGACACGTCCTGGCACTGCGACATGCTGGTGAATCTATCGAGGCGAAATCGCACCGAGGACGCGGAATTCGGCCGGACCGAGCTGTCGCTGGAGGAGCGCGACGAGTCGAGGATGCGCGAGGCCTTTCTCTGGGGTCAGGTCGCCGGCCCGATTCTCGGCGGTTGCCTCGTCTGGGGTAGAACCGGACCCTCGATGGTCTTCTCGCGGGCGGTGCTCAGTGCCTGTCTGGCCTCGCTACTGGTGCCGGCAGCCTGGCGGGGTCCGTCTCACGTCGCGCTCAGATTACTCCAAGGACTCTGCACGGTAGGACAACCCGTGCGATAATAATTATCATACGTATACAATCGTTTGCAATTGCAGATATCGTCAATTTTTTAACACGAATCGTGTCTTTCGCGTTGCAGGGTGCCACGATGCCTGCAGCTCACATGCTCGCCATGACATGGTTCAAAAGTACGCACAGAAGTTGGTATTTCAGCTGCTACGCAGGTAAGCGATCGAGAGACACCCACGACTGCAACTACATTACATATATCGTGTATATCATTGTTCGTCAAAATTACGGCAATGACGCGCGTACGTGATATATACGCAATATGCCTCATACACGAGTTACATAAATGAGAGAAGAAAGAACAACAACAAAAAATTTGTTTCGTAGCTGTAAGTGTAGGTTACTGTCTTACTGGTTGGCTCGGCACGGCGGTGGTGAGAGCTTACGGAAGAGACTCGCTGTGCTACGGTCTCACGATACTGGCATTGTGCTGGTACTTCACTTTCGGCCGCTTCGTCAAAGACAGTCCCAAATCTTATCAACACGATACCAATGTAAGGCATGTTGGCAATTTTTGCTTTTTATGTGCTTGCTATTTTCTGAATGTGGGATTATTTTTATTTAAATTATAAATAATATTAATTAAGATCAGTTCCAAATTTGAATGTATTTGTAAATTTAAATATTTGACTATTAGGCTGCTGTCATACCATGGGGAAAATTGCTGAGATCCGTTCCAGTTTGGGCATCGGCCGTAGCGACAATGGGCAACCAATGGGGTGATGCCACCCTCGCTTTAGGCATGACCAAATACCTGAAACTCATTTATGGATTCTCCACTGCTAACGTAATTTTATCTTTTGTAAATTATTTATAAAGTAAAAGATAATTTAATAAGCATTTATAAGAAAATAATGGTCACACATTGTTTGAATCCATCGCATGGCGTTTGGGGAATGTCGTCTTCGTGGTGATATTTCGACCCGGTATAACCTAGTGCTAAAATCGTATTTCAAAAATTGGATTTATCTGATAAATCTATCGTGATCTATGAATCAATATTTCGACTTGAAATAACAAGTGTGCAATCTTACATGCCTATTAGTAATAATTAGAAAATTAGTAGAATATTGACGGTTGTGTTATTATACAGCTTCTGATTTAACCGCTAGATGTCGCAATCAATTCCGAACGAGAAAAAATAAAGTTTTGTAGATATATAAATCTAATTTTGTAAATTTGTAAATCTACCAACATCATCGATCGTTCCTTTACTCGGTTGATATGCAAGAGTTATTGAGGAATATTTATAGATATGTAAGTTATGTAATTATGAGTAATCTTCGTAGGATTCAGTACTGACGACCTTGCCGCACATAGGACACTTCATGGCGGCGCTCACTTGTGGCTTACTCGTCGATCACGTGAGAGAATCTAAAATCGTATCCACGACCACGGCGAGAAAGTTGGTCGTTTACACGGGTGAGCTGCATTTTACAACTTTTTCGTCCATCGCTTTTCTCTCTCCTCTCTCTTTCGCTTCGTCGCCTGAATAAAATTTGCCCGCGGACCCGGCGAGCGATATCATCCGCCGCTATAACGACAATTTTATTTTTTTATCTCTTCTACTTCCACAGCTCATTTCATCCCCGCTGCGCTGCTCTTCGTGGCGGGCTACGCGGGCTGCCAGGCTCTGGGTGCCGCTTGGCTGGGCATAGCCGCCCTGCTGGTGAGCGGCACGGCTCCCGCGGGCGCCCTCGCGGCCATCGCCGATCTGGCGCCAGCCGAATCGCCGGCCTGCGCCGCTGCGGCCTGCGCTCTCTGCTCCACGCTGGGCGCTGCAGGCCTGCTGGCTGCTAATTACTTCGTCACTCAGGCGTTGCACGCATCGGTGAGTTTGCCGCCACGGTTTATTATCGGTGGTTCATTATATAGCGCAGCGCATAGCCGCGATCTATTTATCGCGATCGATCGGCCATTCGAGAAAATGAGTGTCTTTCAAAGTGTCGACTAGTCGATTACGAGAATCGGTTATTAATGGGTGGATAATGGCTAAGTACACAGACGTAGAAGCAAAAAACTCGTTACAATAAATCGAGTGAAAGAAAAGACACTTTTTACACGGCTCTTAACGTTAGCGCTAGAGTAATTAAAAATAAACCACATAAGCCCACACACGCCATAAATGGTGCCACGCATTGTACCGAGCTCGTTCACATGTGCCAAATAACAATCCCCGGGGCTCGTAATTGAATCGAATTAAAATCCCCACCTATACCAATGTCTGTTACAGATCGCCGGCTCGTGGCGTCTGGTCTTTGGCGTTGCGTCGATAGTCTTGCTGATTACGGCGGCCGTTTTTCTGGCATTGGGCAAGGGTGTACCACAGCCGTGGATACCGTCGGTCGCTCGGCCCTGCAGCCACGACGTGATTTACGAGCAGGACGGGCTCGAGCTCGATTACGAGGACGTGGCCGTGCAGACTGAACCCTACGATCTTTACGGCGCCGACGACGACGAGGAAGATAATCCGAAAGATATTGAGAAGGAGCAGAAGGAGTCTAATTCTCTACAGACTACCGTAGCTGTTATTAAAAATGAGACAAACAATTATATAATTAAAGCGTAGATAGCGGTTCGAGCTACAGCTCTTTTCGACGTGAAATGTCAAAGCAGAGCCTTTATGCAGTTTTTTTCTTCTTCGGATTTCGTCAAGTACACTATGATAAAATCCAATCCTGAATATTCATGTGATTATCTTTGAGTTTATTATAAAGTGCAGCTGTGTAAAAATATAATTTAAGAGTTTAAGATTTGAAATAAATAGGAAAATGTCGATGTCTAGAGAAGTCGAAACTTGTAAATATATGAGAATAAATTTTGATTATGAATGACGAATTCACTTATTGATAAAATTATCATGAATTATAGCAGAAATGGTAAAATAGCTCAAACTATCAGGGTAATATATAACACAAGGTAATACATATTTTTTGCTGGTCAAATTAAGAAATGAATGAAAATTTCTTACATCTTTTGAAGTAAAAAGGTAGAAACGACGTAGCTCGATATATAAGTATGTAGTTTATCAAAGAAAAAGTTGTACTTTTTAAATCATTTTCGTACTTTCGTATTACCAACAACTTCCGTCATTCATAATATGCATAATTTGCACGAATATGAAGAAAAAAGTATTTCATACTTTCAAGCGAACTTGGCGGGAAAAAAAATTCATCGCACTTACTTTTTTCAGCGAGTCGTCTTTTTTCGCTAGATTCTTGACGAAATATGGCAATGCATGGAATCGTTACTCTTTTGTGGTTGGGAAAATCGTAGAAGTTATAATTGCGAAGCTTTCCCGCGTTACTTAACCTCCAGACTATTGAATAATCTAAAGTGTCATTGTTTTCAACTTTTTTTCCTCTTTGGCCCATCTATAGTTTCAGTCGAATTTAAGCAACTAAAAATTCTTTTTTTGCGATCGCTTCCCCGATCAACGACCCGAATCATCTTAATTTTACAAAAAGTCTATCGAGACAATCGTCTAGAGTCGATTATATGAAAAATAACGTGTATAACGCGTGTACGCACCGCAGGTTACGCAGCGGAGTCCCGCGAAGTTCTACGCGCGCGCGCGCGCTACGTATCGCGAAAAAAATGCGCGTACCCACATATGGGTTTCCAGTTAAAAGATTTCAAAGCGTGGAAACTATAAACATAATATATCCCATGGCGCGGCTCCGACTCGACGCTATATTATATATGTATATACGCGTGTATATATGTACGAGTGCAAGTGTGTCGCAACAATACTCACTGCATGGTAATGTTAATCATCCGAGTATGTATAGCAGCGTACGTATACGTACTTATATATATGCCACACGCGGAAAGCAACGCGTCATTATATTTCCTCATGTATAAGGTCTATTAAGAAATAAATTCTCACACAGGTACACACGGCGGTGTCTTATCCATTTATCTCATACTTTTTATTTCGCCCGATGGTGCGTTGTTATATATGCGATGAAGCGAGGAGATGCGAAATGCACATCCCTGCGTTACATGTAATATGAAAGATATCTTTATTAGCTGCTGTACTCTACATATGTCTAAAATTTTATTTACAATCGACGTTTTACTAGAAAATTCTTAAGTTAACAAGCCTTATAAGGAGAGTAAATATTATAAACAGTTATATCGAGGATTCTAACGAAATTACAAAACTATAAAAATCTCAAATTCGATCAAGTACAAAAAATATACTTATGATATATGGTGATACCTAATATAATTGACTTTACTTATTTATAGTAACATTGAGGTTTACGTATAGCAAAACAACATTTTTCATCAGCGTATAGTTCGATCGAAATCAGATGTACATTTTTTCAAGTCACTGTTTTTTTCGTGTTTCTTTTTCTTCGTTGTTGTTACTGTCTTCTCCGATGATTTGTACGCTTCTTACTGGTCCACCCTTGCGATACCTGAGAGGAGCGGCCGTCGTCGACACGTACATCATATTCGGCATTGCCACTGGTCGATCCGCACTTATGGCTAACTGTAACATCCTCAACAGCAGAGCCTCTCGTATTTGAGGAGGCAGTATGTCTTCTCCGTCGTCGCTCATCGCGTCGGGCGCGTAAAACTTTTGCCTGTAAACCCTTTTTGCGTATCTGGTATCCGGATAATCCTCGTATTCTCTCTGGTAAATCGGATTCAAGGCTCGCGAGTACGGTGGCGGTGGAGGTATGGGTCTTCTCAACGGTCCCTCGGGATAAGGTGGCGGTGGCGGAACTGGTCCGGGTCCATGAGGTCCATGAGGCCCATGCGGTACGGGAGGTCCAATGGGGCCAGCTGGTCCAACGGGTCCCGCTGGACCCACGGGACCTGCAGGTCCTACCGGTCCAACTGGTCCAGCGGGACCAACGGGCACTGGCCGTCCTATCGGCCCTTCGGGTGGATAAGGTAATCCTCCTCTCGGTGCTCCATATGCCGGATCATAGTACTGCTGTTGATCGTAGAGCGCGTCTTCCAAATATTCACGAGGGTAGCTCAGAGCTTGAAGACCGTATTGGCTGATTAAAAGGCGTCTCAATAAATATTGAAAATCTCTTCGGCTCAAAGGTGGGGCAATTGGATTTGGTGGTTCTGGAGGTAGTGCCAGCGGTCCCCGGTAAGGATAAGGAGCATTTTGATAATCTCGTTCATCCGGTGGCAATGGCTGAGGAACCGGTCGCAAATAGCCTCTTCGTGCATCAACCTCGGGTCCGTAGAGTAATTGTCTAGGATAAGCTCTGTGACGTCCCAAGTATCCGGGATTTATGGGAACTCTGGGCACGGCCTCTTCGTGGTCGTGAGCAACAGGTGGCGAATCCGTTAGATATTGAACATTACCCTCCTGTACACCAGGATACAATGGCTGTCTTCCAAATTCTTGTCTGAGCAGTAGCCTGCTGAGAGGAATCTGTTGGTAAGCTGCATCCTCTTCCAGTTGATTTCCTGGAACGAGGACTCCTCCTTCTCGCAAATACGCTCCGGGCTGTTGTCTTACGTAGAGAGGTTCGGTACTTTGACGAGCGTACTCTTTGGAATCGGATGCTTGATCCTTAGGTGGTCGAGTCGTGGTACGAACCAAGACCTGCTGAGCAGTGTTGCGGTCCTCTTGAGGCACATTTTTCGATTCTTGCTCTTCAAATTTAGCAGGACCGTTATTTTGATTGATAAAAATGGGTTTCAAGCGTTCCTTCCTGAGTGAAGCCAATCTGGTGGTTGACCTTGGAGGACTGGACGTTGTAAAAAGAGGGCGCGAAGTAGAGAGCGATCCTCCGTAAACATCGGATTGATCGTCGTCCAATTCAACCACTGGCGTTGTCTTGGACGCTTCTTCTTTGAGCTGTCTCCTCAAAGCATTTCCGGTTGTGATTTTTGGTTCTTCTTCTTTGTCTTCGAACTCCTCGGTTATCGGAGGTAAATTGAGTTCAACGGGTCTCTTTGTAAACACCACTCTTTGAACAGTTGTACTTTTTTCACTAGTACTCGGTTTTGTCACTTCTTCACTGACTTCTTCCGCTTGCTCTTCCTCCAAAACTACCGGGCGCTGCTGGCCATTGATGATCAAACGATGCCTGGCTTTGGGTCGAATGAAACCGGGTCTCGGAGTTTCGGTCGTCGACAATGTGCTCCCGGACACGGACGTCGTCGGCAGAGTCGATGGTTTTCGTATTCGCGGTATCGGCTGCACCACCGACAGCTTGGTTGCCGACTCCGTAGTGCTGGAATAGGCAGCCTGAGGTTTTTTCAGGGTCGAGTTACGATTGTTGCGTGGCTGATTCTGAACGATGGATATTTGTTCCTGTAAGGGCGAGACGGTGGTAGATTTAAACCCTGTTCCGTTCGAAGAGGAATAGGACACTCTTTTAACTTCGCCAGTTGCATCGACGAACCCGAAAGTACCTTTGATGTTGCCAAGCACATCACGGCTCTCGACCTAGTAAAGGTAACGTTCTAATTTTTGCATTTCAGAAACGACACTCGACTTTTTATCGTGATTGCGTGCAAGTATCAAGAGACAGTCTGTGCGAAGTGAAAAAAGTGCACCATTACCATGGCAACTCGATCGTAATGCCTTGAGTTGAGTAAAATTAAATATTTTTTGCATGAAATGATTTCTTTCTAATTACGAAATAATATGAAATTAAAAAATAAAAAATTAGAGTTTTAGTATTAAAAATGATAAATGTTATAGCTTGTAGATTCACTTTCGTTTGAGACGAACCTTAAATGACCCATCACCGGCCTCGTATCCATAGGTATAAGATCCATCATCGTTCACTTTTCGAATTTGCTTGAGGATGGCCACTTGCTGATCACGTTGACTTTCCGAAATCTCTTGGTCAGTGGCATTCAAACTGCTTACCGTTGTCACCAAGAAGAAGAATGCCATGAGCCATGGCGTCATCTTGAACTGGTTAACGAAATTAAAAAAATTTTTAATGCAAAAATTAAAAACTACAACTTTAAATTTAATCGAAGAATATAAATTTAAAAAAAAATTGGAAAATAAATTCAGGACGCAAGGCAAAAGATCTATACTGCGCTGTCGGCGACGAAGTGTCGTTTAGCGCATGCAAAACGCAATAGAACTCAACACTAGACAAAAGTATCGGCACACACTGGGTTGTTTTTCTCACTGAGGCAGTAAAGCAAAGCGGAGCGTCGTAGGTAAAACGAGCGAGTTCGAACTAAGTACCTTGGGACTGGAAGCCATGGTACCGCGCGGATGCGGTGAACGCGTCGACAATGATGAGAGCGGGGTGCGTACGCCAGCTCTTATATATAGTGTGACACAATCCTTGCCTGCTGCTGCTGCTGCTTGCCACTACCTTTTTCCGCGCGTCAACAGCCACCACCTCCTCCCGCGCGCGAGCCACATACGACTCGATCGCTCCTTTTGCCGCGAAGCGTAATTCAACCTTGACTACCCCCGAAATTACATACGTGTGTAAAAGCTAAGCCGGTGCGCGGACAACGCCGCGGAGATTTTGTAATTTCGAAAATTCACACGAGATTCTCCGATTGTTTCATTGTAAAAAAAAAGGAAAAACGACAAATCATGAAAATTCGAGCCTGCTGCGCGCGTGTGAATTATCAAATTGCAAGAGCCTGTATACGACTGAGCTTCGATTGTTTATAATCTCATTAAAAAAACGAAAAATGTTAATAATCAATTACAGTATGGAATAAAAAATAATCTGATCCAGTTTCCACAAAATTGAATCACCGCGTAGTCGACTTGTTTGTTTCGAAGAAATGTTTTGCATATTATACGATCGCGCGTAATTCCGGGCAATTATGTCCCTATTCCAAAGGTAAACAATGAGCTGACTCGCGTTCATCGGACGCACGCGCACTTTTATTAAGTGTACGCGTACGTGCAAAAATCATTACATGTTTTCTGCATACGAAGGGTGTGACAATAATTGCCGGAGAGTACAGTAAATCCTTTTTTTACTACTTTCTGTTTCATCTCGCGTTAATTATTATGTTTAGCCGAGTGAAGCGCGTAATTGTTGTGAAACGTCTGCGGCCGTTATACATAAATAAGTTACTCGGTAAGCAAAGCCTGAGAAAATGTGCGTTGATACCAGTGCAAGTGCGATACAATTTATATGTAATAAAACTATTGGCAAATAATCCCTCGGTGAATCACGACGTCGCACGCCTATGTCATACGCGCTAATTTTTTATGTATCGTGATTTTTTTTCACCTTTTCCATTATTTAAAAAACTAAACAAGGTTTCACGAAATGTATTTATTCATCCGAAAGGACGTATCTCGTCGGGTTACCAAATAACACACTTTTCGTTTCAGTCGATTTTAAGCACGCACCGAGCTCGCACGCATACACCGTCGCATGCTGCTATGGGAAATGCGCGTAAAAGCGCGTCCGAAAGTAAATTTCAAAGAGCCGCGCTCGCTCGCGCCCGCGTCACAATTCTCAGCAAAGTGTACGTATACCTACACGAGAATCTCAACGACGACGAAAAAAAAACACGAGCAGGCATTAGGCAAGCTCTTTTTTTCCACGCACGCATATACTCCGTGCGCGCGCGCAGATAAGCCGACTGCGTTGTACCATAGGCTCAAATGGCAGCTGTAATAAGGGACCTTACCAGCTCGACACGCTGACGAGGGCTTACGCGTTTGGATTTTAAAATCAACTCGACGACGATGCAGCAGCAGGAGACACATCTTACGCGGCAGTGAAAGCCGCGACATTTTTGCCTATATACGCATGGTGCATGCGTACGAAAGAACGCGTACACGTGGGAGTCGAGGTGCCAGTGTGTGGTTTGTAAAACAGTACCCAGCACCAACAGCAGCAGTGGCAGGAGCCGCAGCAGCAGCAGCAGCAAGAGACTGTAAAATGTGTAACAATAGTCACCTTTTTCCCATACTATGCAGCAATAGCCTGGGCCACACATTGTGGTACATCAGCTTCGGATTTGAATCTCGCCTCTCTCGTGTATGTGTGTCTCTTTCTGCGCGTGTATGTACCTATCGTCCTGCTGAGTGCCTGCCGCTCCGTATGTACGCAGTCACTCCCACAGAAGGACGATTATTACATCACGCTATTTCCGATGGAAATATTTCGCCCGCCTCTATATACTCGCGCTTATATTATATAGCGGGAGCTGCTGCACACGGGTCTACACACAGGTGCGCGCGCTGAGCTGCAAAAGTGCGTCACCGATTCCGGCCTCGTGCATATTTTATTGTACCTGCTTTAAGGTTGACACACTGAGCTCGAGAGAGCTGCTCGCACAGGTGTATGCGCGCTCCACGTCGCTTTACGTAAAAGTAATCTACGTTACAGGGATGAATTTGCCATATCACTGGGTACATGAATACGTGGTATAAAGCGGGGGCGCAGAGCCTATTAATATGCATCGATCGAGACGGCCCATTATCTTGGCACGAGTCGTTTTACTGCCTAAAAGATTCACACACTTTGGGAATAATGGCTTGAACTATATATCCACGCGCTCTACACGCACCATTGAGACTTTCTATTTAAAACGTTTTTCAAACAAGCAACAAATGCAGCATCATATTGGCGCGCCTGGTCAAAGATGAAAGTTTCGATTTGCGACTCGGGTCTTTATTGTTTGGGTAGCTAATGCGCCGTGATGCGTGTTTTCGACACTCGAGCCACAATTTGGCCTCGCTTCGTGTATCGATCGTCGCGAGATTCGCGTTGTAATTACTTATTAATTGTCAATTATTAAGCTGTAACGAGTACGCCTCGGGTATGCGGCGTCGAATTCATTTATCCAGGCCCTAGAAGTGCTGTTTTACTTTTCTCGTTGTTGGCTTTTAAGAACAACGAGCACACCTACTTCGAGCTACCAACAAAATGACCAACATTCTACGGCTTGGGAACTAGCTTATATTGTTTTCTTACTTTGCTTCTCGTGTCTTACAAAAACTATTGCAATGTATAAAGCAGTTTTATACCCGTGTGTGTCCTAGCTTTATTCTATTACGAAAGTATTAAAACAAATAATCGTTACTGCATGATTATTCGACTTGAATAACAATTTATTCAAACCGTGCGCTATTTATTCCAACCTCATTTTCGTATTATTAAATTAATTCCATATTTTTGTGTTATGTTTTCAAAAAGAAGTCAACATTTATTCATAAACTCAAATCTAGAATTTTTATCTATAAAATATAATTCTGTGGCTTCGAGGCTTTGATACTCATTATAACACTTTTAGATCAACTATTACGTATAACATTACCAACACTAATTTAAAAAGTAACTTTTTGTGCATTACGTGTCATTGTCATCCGTGAGACTCTTTTCATTATTTGATTGTTATTAAAAGTGGCTCCGCAATATTTTGCAATAACTTTCTTTTTTCGCTCATGGATCTCATTATTAAATGAAAACATCGTAACAAATTTTATTTTATGTACAACGCGAAATATATGAATACATTATTCGACTAATATTCATCTTTTTGTCAGTTATTTAGAGTAAGCAAGTTCAAAGTTCCATTTGTTCCATAAAAAATGAAAAATAATTTACACAATCAAAATTTCAAACGTTATTTTGATACTTATGAAATATCTTGAATATTCATCTGAATTAAAATTGTTACAGTTGTATTGTGCTGAGAAGAATAAATTGAAGATGATAATAAAAACAAAAAAAAATGAAACAACTCGAGGCTTCTGTTCCTGTACTAGATAGGCACATCATAATGGACGAATAATTCTGCACCCGAGTGAGTACAAACTTGCATATAAAATGGAAATAATGGCTCGAAAAGGTTATTCACAAGTCTGATGACAGACTGTTTTATTTGAAAAATAATTACCTACTCAATTTGACTCAAAAGAATAGAAAAGTTGCCGTACTTCATAACGAACAAAAGATTTCATTGCTGTATACTTTTAAGATTCGAATATAGCTTTTATTTTATTGTGAACTCCTTGCTTTGTAACTTCCATTCTTACAGCCATGCGAAGTTGGTTGCATTTCTAAGGCGTGAAATGTAACGTTATTATGAGAGGTCTGAATAGCCAGTTCAAGTTATTTTCAATCAGTCCTTGAATGAACTTTTTTTCTTTCAATTGCTTCCTCGTAGAGGGAGCTCTGTGATAGGCTCGAAAACGAGATTTTGAACCAGACCTCGTAGGACAATTTGGTTTATATATTTGGAAACTACATTGAATTACCAACAAATGTCTGTATGTATGTGTGTGTGTGTGTGTGGGTGTGTGTGTGTGTGTGTGTGTGTGTGTGTGTGTGTGTGTATGTACGTCTGGTGGTCTGGAACCAGTGTAACTTTTGAACGGAGACCCGCAGCGCGAAGTTGTTCGGCTCGTTTTGAAGGATTTGTGTGTCGTAAGAAGCGTCAAAAACTTATTTTAGGATCCACCGAGTAGTTAAAGAGTTATGCTTCATTGTATCGGGAGGAAAAATGGTTTTTTTTGAAAAAAATTTTTTTTCGATTTTTTCATGTATAAATGAAGGAATTTTTATTTTTTTCACGGTAGAATGAAAGCAGAGTAGTCAAACTTTAATTTAAAACCAAAAAAAATGAAATTCACCGAATATTTTCAAAATTAACGACTCGACATGAAAAGTTGTTTTTTTTGCTTCCTCGTAGAGGGAGCTCTGTGATAGGCTCGAAAACGAGATTTTGAACCAGACCTCGTAGGACAATTTGGTTTATATATTTGGAAACTACATTGAATTACCAACAAATGTCTGTATGAGTTTTTTTTTCTCGGCCTTCTGGCTAACATAGAAGTGTAGTGTAGTGTACCGATGCCTTTTGTTTACATTATTTTTTAAGAGGAAGCTCTTTGCCAATAAATTGGCAGCGGTTTTTTTTATATGGAAAGAAAATAATAAACTACATTTTTTACAGTACTTTCAATAATAATTGATCTATAAATATAACTAAAATTTGATATGTTCGATTTTTATTTTTAATACTTAAAACCTTGTTTTAACACATGACTAACAAATTTAAAAATTTTGGAAGTCCTGGTGAAACATGTAAAATCAAATTTAATATGTTTATCGGTCTTTCATTTTTAATGAATTTTAAACCCATATTTTATACTTCTATTAACTATATTCAGTATTTACCACCCTCAAATATCATGCTATAGTATAATATTATTTGTTATCAACTAAGTGAATGATCGGATTATTAATGAAACGCTTACGATTCAATGTAACT